CACTTCCTGAGCAGCGAGCGCTGCTCCCTGGCCCCCCCCCCGCCCCCAGTTTCTATACTGAGCATGACGCCATATGGTATGGAATAGCCCTTTGGTCAGTTTGGATCAACTATTTTGGCTGTGCCCCCTCCCAGTTTCTTGTGCGCCTGGCAGAGCATGGGAAGCTGAAAAGTCCTTGACTAGCATAAGCAGTACTCAGCAACAAGTGAAAACATCAGCGTGTTATCAACATTCTTCTCCTACTAAATCCAAAACACAGCACTATGCCTGCTACTAGGAAGAAAATTAACTCTATCCCAGCCGAAACCAGGACAAACAGCCAGATATTTCAGCTATACGCTGCTCTAAATGTCCCTCAGTATTGCAGGCTGTAGGAACTGCTGCTCTGATTTTATATTCCTGAATTAATGATTCCTTTCTGTTACACCTCTTTCTGGCAAACCTCAAATTAGGGAGCATAGTAATGTCTTCTAGATTAGTTTGCAGTATCAAATTTCCTACTTTCATCACATTCTTCTCCTCCCTCTTCTCTCTGCAGACTTTCAGGTCTCTGGAAAATCTGACTTCTACAGTACTCTGCAATTCTTCTGAAGTTCCCTCTGGCTTAATGAAGGACAAAGCAGTCGTAGTGATGAGAGGAAACTGCACTTTTTTGGAGAAAGCAAGAATTGCACAAAGTTTGGGTGCTAAGATGCTGCTGATTGCCAGTAAACCTAGGCTGGTAAGTTACAACATACAGTTTTCTTCTGTAGTGAAATAGTGTCTTACCTGTTTGGACCAATGCAGTGTTGTACAGCGTTAGCTGAGAGAAACCCCAAAAGCAGAGGACCCTGGAAATGTGTGGGATTCCAGCATGAGTCATTAACCTTCCCCACGGACCACTGTGCTGGCGCCACTGCTGTTCCTGAGACTGAGAGGGTCATTCTGAGGTAGCTCTGTGCAACGCTGTGTTGTATTGCCTAAAAGTATCTACGGCTGAATTGTATTTTTAATCTGTTCCTTGTATCATTAATCATGGTTCTGAATGCAAATGCTTGTCTTTATCATTCCCTAATTTTAGTGTACTCTGAACTCCCTGTAATCTTAAGTGATACTTTGGTTTAGACATGTGTGACAAAAATAAGCTAGGAAAATGTAATCCAAAATTGGAAATGAAAAAAGGCCTTTTGAGATACCTTTACAGATACTTCTGTTGCTGTTTTGTTCTCTATTACAGCTGCAACATGTGTGAACAAATATTTGCAATTTATGAATTTGTGTGATTATCATGAAAAGTTAATCTTGTTTTAAAAGCATAGAGAATAAAACCAGAGTTTTGATTATCCCTTGTAATACTATAAAAGCACGAGAACTTTATGAATCCAGATGTGTTGGTAGTATCGCCTGTTTTGATTAAGTACTTTTTTTTTTTTTCTTTTCCTTCCTAGAAATACACTGACATTTAAAGGATAATCTGCTTTTAGGGATCTAACTTGCGTTGTGGTTAGGCTCAACATGCTTATCACTGACACTTTCTCTTTTAAAAAGTCTCCTCTTTCAGATAACAAGACTGATTTTGAAGATGTAACTCTTCCAGTTGCTCTTATAAGATATAATGACATAGTAGATATGCAGCTGGTAAGTAATATAACTTCAGCATGTTATGGTTTGTATAAACTTAAGTTTTTGAACAAATAAATAAAATAATTTCAGGTCAGATATGGTTGTCTACATGATTTGAATGTGCATAGATACTGCTTTCAGTTTTACAGAAGAAGATGGATTTGAAGTCGTGGAAGCGCTAGTCTTCGTAATTCAGGTTAATTTGAGAAGTTGATTAATTAGAACAGTAAGAATGGGAAACATAATACCTAACCAGAGGGAAGGTAATCTTAGAAGTCTTCCCGCTAAACAAGATAAGCATCCTTCCAGTAGACCTGTATACAATTGCAGATGCCTGACAAATGTCAAGAGCTGTAGCCTGAGAGGGCTGCTCCTTTAGCGCAGAGGCTAAAACAGTTGAGCTTGTATCCACTGGCATGATATCTTTCAGACAAGCAGTACCTTATCAGGTTGGATCTTGAGGAAGGTGTGAGGGTTTTTTTGTCTTTGCCAGATGATGAGCTCTGTTTATATAGCATGACAGCATCTGTTACAGAGCAGTTAGGCAGTATAGATTGAGTGTCTGTTGATGAGTTCCTGGTGAGATGCCAAGTGTGTGTCATTAAAATGTGGCAGTTGTGGTGTCTCCTACACTTTGTAAGCAGGGGAGTTTGTTTTGGGGGTATTTGGAGTTTGTTCTCCTTGACATGTAATACTAGGATACAGAATATTGCAGAGGCTTTTAAAGAAAACAGTATCTTTTCTTCAGTGTGGCTTTTTCTGTTGTTATTTTGTTGTGTTTTGTTTTTTATTTGGTGTTAAATAGCTTTGCTAGGCAGGAGTTGCACTGCACATGTTTTTCTCTGAATAGCAGAGGCTAGCACTAACCTGTGTAGTCTTAGCTTCTTGGATTGAATTTGCGAGCTCACTTCACCGTTTCTGCTCTTAATCTTCAGAGCTGCCATGGGAGGTTGTCTTAGGTAAGTATGCAAACTGAAACTGTGCCTAGATGTATAGGACTTTGGTTGTTTTCTGTCTGTTCCCATTAAAGATTGGTTGTTGCCAAGCATTGACATGACTGAAGGTTTGTGATGACTGTCCTCAGTCTGCCATAGTCTTGGTGAATACTGCATTTTGGTTGGGGTTGTCCTCTGTCTTGAAACTTGTTCCTTCAAGACAAGTGGTGTTTGCTTAGTTGAGTGGTTTTAACATATGCCCTACTAACAGGAAAGGGAACTAGGGCAAGGTTAGACCCCTAATTTGTTCTGAATCTTCTCTGCACCACTTTATTACCTAGTGCTGCTTGGGGTGGTATCATGTAGAATCACTTCTGTATAGCTATAGTAATTCACCAAAGTAACTTTGCTAGTAGGTTAGCATGCCAGATGATGTCTCATACTGCTGTTGAATGAAATAACTTGGTTTTGTCTTATAATGAGACTGTCTTGATAAAAGTAGTGAGTAGCCTAGACTACAGGTGACCCTTTCCTAGTTCTGATGTAGTTTTTGCCAAAGCCTTCTGTCATGTCACTGGCAGCTGTTGTTTTGAATATGTGCTGCTTAGAAGCTGGCAGCCATTGTACTCTTCCTACTACAGTTGTATTTCTGTTTTAACTCTTTTCAAGGCTTCCAACTTTCTCCTTTTATTTAGAAGAGAGAGACAGCACCAGTCAGAGGGTAGCTAGTTTGTATAAGCATTCTTTCTGCTTTTTCTTAGATTTCATCTCTGTTAGCTTTCACTATTCGAGTCAGGTATACTATGAGTCTTGATAGCAATAGGAGAATGTTACAAACCTTCTAGTAAGTGGACAGGTCTCTTGCAGAGTTATCTGATGCGATGTATTTGATTGTAGTGCTCCCTGTGGTGGAAGTTGAGACTTTGAAAAGTTTTCAGTGAAGAGCAGAACAATCGGAACAAAAGGAAACATCACTCTAGATTCTCATGTGAATTATTCTTTATAAGATTTATGAAACTTAAAGGAAAAACTGGATTAAGACATGGTGGAATTTAATATTAAAAATGTGTAAGACTTTAGGTTTTTTGGCACTTTTTTGTGTGTGTTTGTGTTTTGGTCTGTTTGGGGTTTTGTTTTCTCTTTTTACATACAGGATGCCGTAATTTGAACAAGGTTTTTTTGCCTTTATCTAATGTTATGTTCCATTTCATACAACTGCAATGTTTCACTAGAATTTCATTTTCTTTCTTGTTTTCTGAACTTCCATAGCTTCAGGCAAAGGAATGATTTTTACTTCTATAGCCTGCAGTAAGGTTAATATCTGTAATTAGATAATTCAGATGTTGAAATGAATCAGCTTTCTTCACATATGGCCAGTATATTCCACTACACTACTCAGCTTCCCATTCGGTCTTTTCACTGCCAGTTTGATCTTCCTGTAGCCAAACCTGCCTGGCATGTTCATCTTCTCTCCTGCATGCTCCCACATGCAGGCTGTTAACAAATCTGTTTTTCTGCTGCATCTCTGAAGTCTGTTTTCACTGCAGGATTGTTTTAGATGCCTTGACTTACTTTGACTACAACAGCAAAACTTTCTTCCCTACCACCTTCCATTTTCTGTCAAATTATCATCTTTTGTTTCTTAAATCTCACCTTTCAGTCAAAGGGAAGCATCTTGGTTTTGCTTTCAAGATTTTTGTACAATTATGTATCAGCTATGTCTCCCTGTTCCCTCCTATCTTCTTTAGTGTCCTTCAGCTGATTGGTTTTTTTACTTTGGTCTTAATTTTTTAAGTAGCATGAAATTGCTTTCTTGTCTTTTGAATCCATCTCAAATCATGTTTGTGTAAACCTGTTATTAAGTAACTTTCTGCCAGCTTGAGTTTTCACTGTGTCCTGTCTGAAGCATCGTACCCATATCTGAACTGTGAGTTTTGTGGTTCTAAGAGCTAGAGGTAGACCTCTGCTGATATCTCGGTGGACCTGTGAGTTTGTATTTCAAGTTCATTGACTCGGATATGCTCCCCTGCAGAGCAGAAGTCTTTGATAGTACTTGGTATATTTGGGGGATGAAAAGCTTTTGGGATAGAGGCACAACTTCTCAGAAGCGTTGAAAGAATGCAAAGAAGTACCATTTTGCCTGTGGTATCCATATGTTTCCACAGCAGTAGTAATAGGGTTGTTTTCAAACCTGACCATCCTGAAAGGTAGCATGGAAAGCATTGCTTCTTTACAATGACCAAGCCAAACGTATGGGATATCTTGTGCAGTAAGTTGAAAACTTGCTCTCAGTGTTGTGTAGGTTAAAAGCGGGAAATCATAATGTGCATCTTGTTGGAATATAAGCAATATAATTTCTTTGTCTTTATGGACCAACTTGTTTGGGTTTTTGTTGTTGTTGTTTGTTTTTGTTCCTAGACACTTGGAAGTGAAGTTAATGTGACTCTGTATTCACCACCTTTGCCAGAGTTTGATTGCAGTATGGTTGTCATCTTCCTAATTGCTGTGTTTACAGTGGCACTAGGAGGCTACTGGAGTGGAGTAGCAGAACTGTAAGTTTGTTAAATGGAACTACTTAAATTATGTGAACTACAAATTTGTGAAAACTGTGACTATGATCAGTGAGAAATTATGTTATTTTGGGTTATAGTTAAAAAAATGAGAAGATCTAGGTGCAATTAGCTGTTTTGCCATGAAATGCTTGAGCGCTGCCACCTTTGCAAAAATCACTGTATGTCTTTGAGGAAACCTTGAGTGGTAGATTGTAAAAGTCCCTGAGGGATAATGCAGCTCTTGGGAGGAGGACTGAGTTAACATTTTGACAAATTGCCAAATACTCTATAACTAGCATCACACTACTCCAGTACTCATGATAGAAAGTAGGTATTTTAGTCACACCTTTAAAATCCAGTGATCCAAGAGGTACATACGTAGTTGTATGTAGTGCCCGCATCGGCTGGGATCTGTACAACTGCTTCATCCCAGCCAGCTGTGCAGCACCCTCTGGGATGTCTCTGCACCATGCTCCTGTCACTAGGAGCACTGGGGAATGCAGTTTGGTTGTGTCTGGGTGGCTCCAGACAGTTAAAGTCCAACCAGGCTTATCTGCTTCAGCTTTGTGTGTTATCTGGTGGAGCCACAGAGCCAGGGCCATAGCAGCTGTAGGACTAGGCAGGGGCAAGGAGGCAGCAGCAGTTCCTGTGCAGGGAAGGGGAGGGAAGGGAGGTGTAGAATGTGGCAAATGCAGGGAAACGAGGGGTAGTAGGGGTTTCTGCACTGTGCTTGAGGGGTGTGCGGCTTTGTTTCGTGAAGTGAAGCACGCTTGATGCACAGAACTGTTTTTAGTCTGGGGTTAAACTGGATATAGCTGGCCTTTCAGAGCATGGTATTATTCTGCAGTGTTTCTTGGATGTCTGCGTACACTGAATGGGCCAGTGTGTGCTGCTACCTAGGGCTTCCCATTCTCAGTGGTGTTCTCCTTCTTTGTTCCCCAGAACAACAGGGGGTGGGTTGTATGTGATAACAACAGCTTCCTCTTTCCCACTAGCTATGCAAATCTAGTGATTTTAAAGAGATTAAAGAAGTGGAAGGGGGGGATATTTCTTTCTTTTTTAAAGGTTGGACCTGATTATGCTGCTTTTTTACCCTGCAGTACTATAGGGTGTGGCTGCACTGAATGCTAAAATAACAAAATGTGATGCTGTCTCCCATATTGAAAAATACCTAGATGTAATTATATTAAACTTGTTAAAGTGCACTTTCATAAATCTAGGGTGAGCTTTTTTTTTAAAAAGCTGCTTATTCAAAGCATGTCCTCCGAGAAGGTGACTCATCTAACAAAGTGTCTTACTCCTGTGGGTTTTTGTCTTTTGAAGGTAGCTGTTTCAGTGCTGAATTCAGCGTTTTGTATGTGTAGGTCCTGGGATTCGTCAGGAACATGCTATCTGATGGGCAAGTTGCACTAGTGTCTGTACTGAAGAGTAGTAGGGCTATCTGCTCAAAGAACAAACACAACAATTTAAGTCTCCTTACTTTGCATGGTGAGGTATAAATGTGGAGTATATACTCCCAGTGAAAATCCCCAATTACACCCCCTCTCTTTCATTTACTGTAATTATGAGGTGTAAGGGTAAAAGAATGAGTACTTAGCTAGCTTTGTTCTGCTAATATGAATGGTTTTTGCAGACACTTAATGTCTGTAGTTGATGTTTTAAAACAGTGTGTAATACCCAGGATTTTGATTTATGATGGACATATTTATCAGATTGACTACATTTAGCCCAAGATATATTGTAGTCTGAGGTGACATGCTCATAGAGTTGAGTGTGTGCATCCTGAAAAGGAGTTTAAGAGTTTGGATATCAGACTACTTTTCCTCACATGGATCAGGGTTTTGGTTGGGGGTACTCCTTAAAGTTGGCAGTCGCCACATGATTGGAAAGGAGGGCAGTTAAGAATCTTTTCCTTGTGATCTATGCTAGGTTAGAAATGAGTATCTCCATTAAAAAATGGAGAAAAACTCAAAGAATAAGCATACCATTTTTCTGTAATTTTTAAGTCTAATAATGGTATGGTCCAGGTAAAACATTTTCATAATCTGTCATCTGAGGTAAATGTGTTTGTCATTTCCTTAAAACAGTGAGAACTTGAAAGCAATAGCAACTCCTGGGGAGAGAGAAACAAGACGGAAGAAGGAAGAAAATGTTACTTTCACCCCTGTAACAGTTATCTTGTTTGTTGTCATCTGTTGTGTCATGCTGGTGTTACTGTATTTCTTCTACAAATGGTTAGGTAAGAAACAGCGGATAATCTCATTTGACTTACTCTTCTGCATGATCTTATTAGGTGTCTGAGTCTGAAAAGCTAGATTTCTCAACTAAAATTAAAGTAATTATTTTAACTGTTGTCTCCATGTATGAGTTGATGGTTGAAAAGATACAGTTGCTACTTAAAAAAAGAAGCTTTCTTTTACTCTTTTACAAAGGCTGCCCTGACAGTGCTTATTCTGAATGAAGTAGTGTGGAGGAGAGGTGACTAGCGACTAGTAAAAAAAGTACATGCTCTATGTTGATGTTCTTGGGAGGATGGCAATGATAACTTAGGTTTAGAGTGAAGGGTTTTGTTACATTGGTATTGCTACACTGACATTGAGTTTGTTGTTGCAGTGCCCTAACTAAAGTATGAGGTGCAATGGCATTACCGTAATGGAATAAGCTCAGGCATACTAGCAATAACCTAAGTTCTTATGCAATTCCAGTAAAATGTTGTTTCCAAACTGTTGGTTGATTTTTTTTTCTTTCTTTTTTCTGCCCTCAAATCATGCAACTAGAAAATGTACACTGTTTTAAATTACACTTTTTAGTAGGAACAATGTAACTTTCATTCTGAAAGCTTCCTAAATTCACTATTTCCTAGAATTTGTTACCAGTTAACCCTCTGCTTCTGCAAAAGAAACTTCACCATCCTGACTTCTGATTTTGTTTAGCTTTTGTTATCTTGACTGTGGGTAATGCTGCCTTTGGTAAACTTGTCCCACTAAAAGACTGATGAACCTTTTAATGTGATCAAAAGATTTAGGTTAAAAATGTCCCCTGTTTACTCTGAGACGTTTCAGGTGAGATTTAGGAAGAAGTGAAGAAAGAGGCCTCTTTAAAGGAGAAAGGAAGAGGAGTAACAAATCAGTTGGTGGGAGGAAGAAATGTGAATGGTTCAAAGAAAATGTGTGATAGCTTTTTGCTAAGAAGCGGTAGTTCTGTGCACTTTGGAGCAGACATATATGAAATTTCTTGGAGGTAAAGAAGCTGTTACCACAGTATGACATGCTGTCCTGGGAAAAAAAATCTGTATTTAATTAAAAACAGGCAACCCCCCCCACACACACACACACACTCTTTTATATGTCACTACTATAGTGTGTGAATGTAAGTCCTAGTATCATTACTTGGATCAATTCTGTAGCTGAAGTACTAGGGAGGGAGCATTTCCAGCACAAAGCCAGTTGCAAAGCTGAGCTCTTTGATGGGAGTTCTCTGTATCTCTTTTTGTAAGTATTCAGGCATTATTGATTCTGCATTGTTGCCTCAAAATTTGAGATTTCTTAAACAGCTGATTTCTTACTGACTTCAGAGGAACCTGTTATGCAAAACTTCTTGGTTTGCCTCTTGGGGGCTTAACAGATCATACTGGTGCATGATCTTGGTTACAACTATAAAATTCACCTTTCTTGGCTGCTTTTTCAGTAATCTCTTTGTAGGTGTCAGAATTGCTTTCTAGCCAGACCTTCGCTACAAAAAAACCCAAAAAACCAAGACAAAAAACCCAACTAGCAAACAACTGGTTTTATTATTTGTCCACATTTCAGGGTGCTTACCATAAGTTAGAACACACAATATACTATAAGTTGTTAGAACATGGAATGTAGATTTTTTTTCCTAAGCAGGTGATTCCTAGCTACATAGAAATTTTTGGAAGGGATGGAGTGTTTAGCATCTTAAAACGTGACCTAAATAATCAGTCAGATGTTGGGGATGCTGAAATTTTTATGCATAAGCAGGTGAAGTGTTTAAAAGGAAAGTTTGAAGTGAGGAGTATTATCGGCAATTGAGAATGCTTGTAGTTGTAAAATAGCACTTTGGTTTTAGCCATAACCAAATAAAAGTATGTGAAAGCGGTAACAGATGACATGTTTCTTCTTAGAGAAAAGGAAGGAAAAATTAAAAAAAGAGGAAAGTTTTCAATTAAAAAAATTTCAAAACTCAAGTCTTTGCTTGATGAGAATTCTTGTCATGGCAGAGACGCTCAAAATTCAGCACTTTCTGTAATCTGCTGGCTATAGTCTCCAATGACCGTATCAAGCAGTGCTATAATTGTTAACGGTTTATATCACATACACATCATTGTGTTTGATTCCTGTTTGCTATTTTTTCTATTGTATTTTGTCACTGATTCCCATCTTCCATTCTTTTTATTTAGTGTATGTTATAATATCAGTCTTCTGCTTGGCATCTGCAATGAGTCTATACAACTGTCTTGCGGCATTAATAGGAGAAATACCATTTGGGCAGTGCAGGTATTGTACACTTTTCAACTGTTATAAATGTGAGGTTTCTTTTTGGTATTTTCTGGTTGCTATTCAAGGTAGTGTGAGAATACAAGAACAGTTTGACAAATTGTTTCCTCTGTGGTTTAGTGTGCGGGACTGTCACAAAGGAACATTACAAGCTCCTTTGACAGATATTAAAGGTATCCGTAGCATAATCAACAGTTAAAGTAGTGTTGTGGGAGATTTGCTGCATTACCTTTATTTGAAAGCATTGCAATAATCAAATTTGAAAGGCTCTGCTTGGTTATCTGAGCTCAGTTTTACAAAATTCTGGTTGCCTGTAGGGTGTGCTCACTTTAACTCTCTAAGGGGGGGATCCCGTACATACTTTGTTTTTTTGGCAATGGGAATGCTAAATAGTTTTGAATTCTTAGCAGACTGTTCTGAGCAAGTACTATGCTATAGGTGATAGAGTTTTTTTCCCCCCCTCATCTTTATCTGTACTGTGCCCGTGACAGACCAAAATTGAATTTTGTTTAACGTGTTGCGAAGGCAACACATTGCTCGTGTCCTCTGTGTTAGATGTTAGCAGTTACAGTCCTAACTCGGGTAGTGGGTTATCAGTATACAGATAGCCTCTTCTTACTGCTCTGAGTTAAATATCCTGCAGGTATTAGTGAGTATGGGAATGTCTCTGTTTTCCTCCCCTGTATTTTCACTTTAAAAAAACCCTAATGTTTAATGCAACAAACGGTTCTTTTCCCCAAAGAACAATGCTTATAAGCTTGGAAGCCTAAGACTATGTTTGCATGTTACTTAGTACAGGATATTAGTGCCAGGTGATCCAGTATCACATCAAAGATAGAGATCAGGTAGAAAAGACAGCAGGTTTTGTGTAAGCTGCAGGACAGGTATTACTTCTGTCAGTTAGTATCAGTTCAAGAACTGTCCCAGAAAATGGAGTAGGGAGTGGAAACGGGTATTGGCTCCCAATTTTGCAATACATAACTATTCCATTTTTAATCTTGTATTAAGTGTCCTAAAATTGATTTTTCACCACCACCACCCCTTTTTGGAATCATGACTGTCCCTCACTGATACAGTTCTGGTGGAATAATTGTTACAAGACAGAAATGGATTAAATAAATCCATCTGCTTGCTGCGTTCCCTAGCTGTGTTTGCTAAAATGAGGACTGGCTATCAAAGCCCAACTTGGCTTTCTGTCTGTGGGCATGTTTTTAATGCAGCCCAGAGAAAGACTGGTACTGCAGTTGCAAGAATAATCCCCCCTGAGTCCAGACAGAACAAATGGGCAAAGGACAGGCTCTCAGGATGAGAACACCTTGTCACCTTAAGCACCCGTGATAGCACAGGCATGTGTTTTGGCTGTTGCAGGCTTTCTTTTTTAATTTAATTATTTTCTTTTAGGATTGCATGTTGCAACAAAAACATTGAAGTGAGGCTTATTTTTCTTGCTGTTTTCTGCATAGCAGCAGCTGTTGTCTGGGCAGTGTTTCGAAATGAAGATAGGTAAGTGATGTGTTCTGACTTAAAAGAGTAATATAAATAATTGTCATTAATGAACTTTCCAACGTATAACTAATCCTGGAGCATGACATCCTTCTAAACTCCAGTGCTGATTTCAAAAAAGTCATGAAAGTATTTATGAAGCTTAATAAGCATGGGGATAATAGAGAACAAAGCTATACAAATGAACTCTGTGGTAATTAGGAGTTACAAAAAATTATGAAGATGAGGAAGAACTAGCTTGATTGCTAATGATTGCCACAGAGGAAAAAAGTGCAAAAATAGCATAGGGACCATCGGACTTATGCTTCCTATGGTCCAGTGGAAGCACAGAACCACAAATACAGAAATATTATAGTAAAATCCTAAGTAGCATCTTGAGCCAGATGTTAAGTAGGGCTTCCAATCAAGTGAGCAATCATACAAGTGAATACCAAGGCCCTGTTATGGCCTCTTTTGAACTCATTCTCTCTGTAGTACGCTGATAAAGGACAGTTACCTAGTTATGATCAGAGGCTAGTGTAAATGGACCATCTTGAAACTAGTATTTTTGTGGTATTCATAGCAATACTTCCTAAAAACTAATTTCTTGCTTTCCAATCCATTTTGTGATCTTGCTATTTCTAGCAAAATCTAAAATCGTTATTGCGCTTAGATTCCAGCAGTAGTTTGAACAATGTGTAAAAATGTGTTCTTATTTTTAGGTGGGCTTGGATTTTGCAAGATATTTTAGGAGTTGCTTTCTGCCTAAACTTTATTAAAACACTGAAAATGCCCAACTTTAAGGTACTGTAAGTTGCTTACCTTAAGAAAGTATTCTAATGCCATGAATCTGTAAGTTTAGTGTCAGGAAGTAGGTTTTCAACACTCAAGAAATATATATTTAAAAAAAAAAACTTTACCATTTTTAATAACTAAGAGAAATTAATCCTGTTTTAAATGTTATGCCAGAATAAACACATAGTGGGGTGGGGAGGTGGTTTGTTTTGTGGGTTTGTTTGTTTTTTTTTTTTTTTTTTTTAAACATGGTAGTACAGTTATGGTACCAGAATCTAACTACGCAGTCCTTGAAAAACTACGGTAATATTTTCTTCTTTTTTTGCCAGTCCTGTGTGATACTTCTGGGCCTTCTCCTTCTATATGATGTATTTTTTGTCTTCATAACACCATTTATCACAAAGGTATGTCTGTGAATTTATCTTTAAAATAAAACCAAAAATATTGTCTGGTCATTGGGGCAGTATTTTTGTCAAACAGATTAGTGTTTTCAGTATTCTTGATGCAGAAATGCTGACTTCCTTTTTCTTCTTCTCCATTTAAGACAGCAGTGGTCTAAAGTTTCATCTTGTGGGGGCTGTAGAGCATAATGCTTGTGTAGGTGCCATAAATTTTGTTAAATGAGTAAGTTTTCAGCAATCACGTGGCCAAAAATAAGCTGTCCCCAATTGTGTGACAGCGTGATGATGAGAGATGACTGTCCTCCAGTTTTCTTCCTCCTTTTGCTTTTAACACCCGTATATCAGAACATGCTCTAGGACTTTCTGTGGTGCTCACTTGCAGTGTAGTATGAACTGTATGCAAGCGTACCTTCTTTTATTTCGAAGCAGAAAGCTCATGGTAGAAAAAGCTGACACATTTTTATCTAAACTTCCAGCTACATCTACTGGATTTGTTGTTTTTTTTGTTTTGGCTTGTTTTTTGTTTGTTTTTTTTTAACAGTTCTTTTAGGCTGGACTACATGTTTTTAATGCAAAACAATACTGTATGATACTAGTGCATTCCTTTTGATATTCAGGATTTTTCCAACCCTGAATTGTAAGATGAGGTACAAGCAGTTTTTGTAAATGTAGTATGAATATTATGCTAACTTTTGAAAAATAACCTTAATTTCAGAATGGGGCAAGTATAATGGTTGAAGTTGCAGCTGGTCCTTTTGGAAACAGTGAAAAGGTATGAATAGTTGTTTTAATACGTGCAACATACAAATACTGACATTTCGTAGCTAATTCATAGTGTGCTTTTCAGCATAACTTTCTCACAAAATATAGCCAGCTTCTGCTATTTTATTTTAAGTATTAAATACCTGTTGACTTGGGTTTGATCCTAGAATGATGGAAACTTGGTGGAAGTCCCTACTGAACGCTCAGCTCCCCATGAGAAAGTAAGGATTGTATTTCAGATACTGGATTTTTTGAATGATTCCCTCTGAAAAGACTATTCTTTTGGGGAAAACCTGACTGTCCAAATTTCTCTTCAGGGCCTGGATATCATTGATCAATTCTCTGTAGTTAGGTTAATAATCCAGACTTGTTATTCTCATTATATGGTTAAATGTTGTTTTAACTTTTTTTGGTGTGTGCGTATTATTTGTAAATCTGAAGTTCCAGCTCACCTGTTGCCTTAAGCTTAATCCACTCTCTATGTTGGTTTCTGGTTTTTACTTTAGGTTCTACCTATTTTGAAGTTCTGCATTAACAATTAATTAATTACATTAAAACTGTTTATTAATTTAAGCAAACAAAAAAAATCCAAAACACCAGGATGCTTTAAATTAGATTTATGTGGGCTTCTAAAATACTGTTTTACAGTTACCTGTGGTTATTAGAGTGCCTAGACTTGAATACTCTGCATCGACACTGTGTGACATGCCATTTTCATTGTTGGGTTTTGGAGACATTATTGTCCCAGGTGAGCAAATGTTTTTGGCAATTGTAACTTATGATTAAACATTTTGGTTTTGATTCTCAACTGACTTGTATTAGAGTTTATTCTACAAAGTAGTTACCGAATCAAATGCAGCAGTTTGCCTTGATCTGTCAATGCAGAATACAACAAAGCCTCAATATAACAAAGCTTAGTATGTTACAGAACACTTAAATAGTGAAGGGGTTTTGCTTTTCTGTTGCCCTGTATTGTGTAAATACAAGTCCCACAGATAAATCCCGTTGTCAGTATCAATTAAATCTCATCGAAATCTCACAGAAGGCAAGTATTCTGTGACTTCATGGTATTTTTGTATCCTAGACTACCTAATTAGAGGTGAGATAATGGAAAATGCATTATCAAGTTTTTCCATCTTTCTCTGAAGAGCTGAATTTTGCCATAATTGGAGTCTTGAGCAAATTACTTGTGTCAGGCACAAAGCACCATCTCGTGAACAGCATGCTTTCCCCTCTCCCTTTTCCTGTGATTCGTACTGAGGCAGAAATGCTGATTGTTAAGAATGACTGTTAAAATCCTATTAAGAAAAGTATTAAAACTAGGTTGTTACTCTTCTGTGTTAGTGCCTTCAAAATTGAAAATAGCACAATTTAATTAGCTTGCTTAAAAAAACCAAGACCTTTTAATACTAAGTTCACTTGGCTCATATTTGCATTATGGTTTTGATTTTCAAGACTTACCATAGGATTTCTTAAACTGGTTCTTGTCTTTCCAGAAATAAATGGGTAGAAGATAACATACAGTAATGGGAAGTCTTACTATAATGTCTTTTTATGCTGCTTTGATTTGGAGGATTGGGGAGAAAAAAATTCATGGCTAAATATTTCATTAATCCTTTTGTGGTGTTTTTTCCCTGCCCCCTTCCCCCCCTTCCCTGTCAAGGGCTTCTGGTTGCCTATTGTCGAAGATTTGATGTTCAAACAAGTTCATCTTCTGTATACTACATTTCCTGTACAATAGGTAAATTGTGATATTTCAGCAACATTAATCTTCATGCTTTTTCTAAATGGCAGAACTAGATAGTTTTCTTCAGGTAAAGGTTCAATGTTATCAACAATCTCTTTATAATCTTTTTTTAATGTGCCTGCCCATATTTAAGGTGAGCAGTCTTTATGGTAGTCAGTTGCTTTGAGAAAGCTCGCAAATACAGAGCAACCTATTGTCCCTCTTCCATTATATTAATAAGGAAGATACTACTTTTAAAAAAATAATAGTTCTGGCTTACTAAATGAGTGACTTAATTTAAAAATTCAGCTGTTCTTGACTGTGTATGTATAAATATCTTTTTGTAGCTTATGCTGTTGGTATGGTGCTGACTTTCATTGTTTTGGCATTAATGAAGATGGGACAACCTGCCCTACTCTATCTTGTACCATGTACACTCATTACTAGCTCGCTTGTTGCTTGGAGGCGCAAAGAGATGAAGAAGTTTTGGAAAGGAAGCAGTTACCAGGTAGGCTGGATGCCTTGAGTATTTCATTGTTGTTAATTCCTTTGAGTATGTGCTTCTCTAAGTACTTGGTAACGTATCACTCGCAATCCAATTTTTGCTAGTCTTAGTGTTGGTTTATCTTCTGGAATGAATAAGGAAAAATAGTCTTTACTCTTAGAGAATCTTAGTCTAGTAGTTGACATGGCAGAACAGAGCTTAAGGGAGATGAAATGGCTGGTTCAGTACTCATAGGAAGAAGTAATTTGTTCTGTTTTATTTTCTTTGAAATGTTTTTTCATGTTTTAACATTCCTCAACTATATCTTGATGCAGTATAACATGAGTCACTGAACTAAGCATGCAGATTCCAATCTGCACTAGTCCTGTATTAAGAGACAGTTCAAAAAAGTTGGTGATGAGCTAGAATTTTAGAAACTTCCCATGCATCACTGGTGTCCTGCATCACCAGGATGATATGGAGCATTCAGCAACAAAATAGCTGGGTGGTTATATAACTGTTTTCTATTGCAGCACATGCTGTGTACACGTTCCTTTGGTATTCTGCATTTCCCCTCTGGTTATCTCTAACACTACCCAGGAATTGCAGTCCTTAGAATCCCACCAGCTGCCTGCCTCTGCCTGTTGACATGTGCACGTTCCCCCTGATTTGACTTGCTGCAGTAACTGAGTGTGCCGGTACCCCTTGTCAGCTGGCATTTATCAGAAGACAGACCAGTCCTGAGATTACTCTAAATTTTGTTTGAGACCTAAAGTCCAATATTGTTTGAATTCAGCAGCTGTTGCCTGTATCTAGGCTGTGTTGAACCTGGCTCAGAGAATGGATAGTCTGATGCGTGGGGAGGTGGGTGCTGTGAAGTTGGTGGTGGAAAGGAGCAGCTCCTGCTTTTTCAGCTTCTGGATTGCATGGTTTAAGTGGATCAATGGAAGTTAAGGTGGTGGTAATTCTTGTAAACATAAAACTGCAGGCACGTGGCTCCTATAATAGTATCAGCTAAATGCTACCTTTTCTTGATCTAATACTCTACACCTGCTTCATCTGGAGATTGGCGAGGTACGAAATTACTCAGATCTTCAGCTTTAACTAGATACCCTGTCTGTCTGTCTACAAAAACAACTCTTCTCCTTTCATAGGTCCAGTGAATAGAAATGTTTCTCTGTAGGTCAGAATGAATTTGGCTTACCATGCATTTGTATATAAATTGGTGACTGTTTGCTCTTCTAAAATAAAATAAAGTGTCGCATAAATAAAGCCCAGTAACTCTGCAACTGTTGGGGCAAAAAAGCTTTGCAATTTATTTTGCTCACTTGAGTTCTGAGTAGTATTGGCCTAGGTAAATCTGACAAGTCTCTTCAGTGACAAAAATTTCTTGCAATTCTCATAGCAAAACTCATACTTGGAAGAATTATGTTGCCATAGTAGTTATTTAATGTCCTTTCATGGTTTCTTGAAGGATTAAAATTGCTCTGAACTTCAGCTTGTTTTGAGGTCAGAAGACTTCATTTCTGGCACAATTTAAAATGTTGATTTCCACCACCCCTGAGTTAGACTTGTCTGTGATTGAACATCTCGGTGTAGCTTTACTAACTCCTATTTTTCTATAACTTTCTGAAGAACTTTTCCTCTATTAGGTTTTTATTTCCAGAGAGTGTTATTCAAGTTGCACTCTCGGAATGCTTCCGTGTTGATCTTTCTTACATATTGTCCTCCCCACATAAAGCTGTAGTTTGAACTGTCCTTGCTGAACTTACCAACAAGCAAAAACAAAAACAAAAACCAAAAACCAAAAAACCAACACCACCACCAAACGCAAAAAACGTACAAAAAACCTCCAGACAACCTCAGGGTTGAAATCTCCAGCTTTCAGTGCTCGTTGTGAGGAGCACAGATACAGAAAGGTGACAGAAGACTATTTTTTGCTACAACAGTGGTAATCTGGACTGTAGCAGAGCTGCCCATTGACAAGGGTGACCAGACTTCTGTAGAGGTTTGCTTTGTCCTCATGGGAACAGAGAAACCTTGCAGACTTGTTAGAGCAAAGTGTGCTAAGAATAGGGGTACAAGAGCATGTACAGTGTATCAGGTGACTAAACTTCATGAATGCTGCTGTTTATTTATAATCCATTAGTTTGCTTTTTTGAGTTTTGTTTTTTTTCTGATTTTTGTTGTGTATGATTTTAATAATGGAATGAATTTTATTTAGGTATCGGACTCCTCCAGGACGCCTTTGCTACAAGGTGTGATTATGGCCTTCTTTTAATGCAACTTTATGAATCATCTTATGGTTTCTTTTTTCTCTTTTCCCCTCTGCTGCCTCTTTTCATTCTTTTTTGCGTCTGTCGTCTTTTTAATTTTTCTTTTTAATTCAATAGAAGAGGGTAGAAGTGAAGACAAGCTATAAATCTGGTTTTATGCTTAGGTGGTTTTGGTTGGGTTTTTTTCTTTCTTTAAAGGAATACAGGAAAACTTAATATAAAGTACCAATGGAGCCATGATTCCGAAGCCTGAAGGCAGGCTTTGTATGCCTCTGTAATTTCCCAGATCCCTAGGAGTATCTTCAAATATTTAGAATTGGTGTTAGTTCCTCTGTTGTTACCTATATGGAAGTAATTCACCTAATTTTTCTGTGTCACTGCATTGACATGAAAACCTGCTTAGTGCTAAACAACAATTTTGTTGTCCTCTGTTATAATGTTCAGCATTATAACTTGCCTTTAGTAACCATGTCTACAGTCCCTCTATCATCTTACTACTCACCAATATACTTTATCCTGTACTGTCTGCCATGCTTGCAGTGGGGTAGGGAGCAAGGATTCAGACCAGCTTTTGTGGCCTTGCTGCTACAACTTCTAGACTGCAGCGAGAAGGTTTAACCTTAGTAGGCTATAGCTCATGACCGCTAACACTGATGGTATTTATTTGAGCTGTCCGCTGTCTCAAGCACAGCATGGAGAGAGCAATGCAAGCTTTCCAATTTCAACTTCTTGCAGAATTTAAGCATTTAAATATAATCTTGAATTATAGTCATCAGCCTAGAGTTACACATCTATTTATACAGTGTAGCTTGTCTGCCTTATACACTGAAGACAATTTGAGATGGTGAACTCTGCCTGACCGTGTCTTAAATTCTGAACTAAAAAGTACTTTTCTCCTTAGCTTCTTTCTTCTAAAAAAGAGTACTTTAACAATGTAAGTCTCATTAAAAAGCCTTAATAATAAATAAATTAGATAGAAACCCAAGAAGAGGTTAGGAAGTGGGAGGGATTGAGTGCAAATTAAAATCAGATGGCCAGACTGTATTTTTATAACTTAAAATTCTTTTGTCCTGCTGTGTGCACTCAAGTTCTTGGAATAGGACCTTGGAATAGTTCTTGGATAGGATTTTGAAAATCAGTTTTTCAATTTTTACTTTATACATATGGGAAATACTTGACTCCCTAAGATAGCTCTGAGGTCCCATAATTCTTAGCTGCGAGCATTTCTGTTTCTGCATAATGATGCAGTCTTAAATTCTAGTTATGCTGTCTGTGGCTTTTTTATGGAGTAGTCTTGAGCTGTAGTCTTGTTGCTGCACAGAAAAACATTTTAACTATTCACTGAAGCACACGGATTTTTTGGGAGAGTAATGTACCTACTTTCCTACCACCAAATGAGCAGTGTTGCTGCTGTGAAGCATATCATAAAGGTTTTTCTAGGTTTTCTGAATTGCTTATACTCCTCATGTATGCCTGCATGATAAACTAATTTGATACTTATTTCCCAGTTATTGATTTAATTTAAAAATACTGTTTGGTTTTTGTATCAGTACAATCTATGAAATCATTTTAGTAACATCATGAAAAATCTAGTGGACTAATGCAACTTTGAAGTCTTCCAGATAGAATAGTCTTGCAACTTTTTAGAGTCTGTCAATTTGAAGTGTTTAGCAAGCTTTCTTATCTCTCTGAAATAATCAACAGATTTGTCATTGGCATGTTGCACAGCATGTACCTGCTGTTTAGTACTGCAATTTTAAATCGCATTTTTAGATACTTGCAAATTAATCATAGCTGTAAGTTGTTAAGAATTATGTGAATTCAACATCATCAGAGTGAATCTTGCAGTCAAGTGTGTGCACAAGTGCTATGTACTCTTTTACAGGTAGAAGTTTGTATTGCCATTTCTAGTTTGGCTCTGTGTGTGGCTTTGGTTTTTTTTAATTTATTTTGGGTTTTGATAGTTCACCATGTTAGGAGATAGGTTAAACATAAATGTATTTTAGTTACAAAGCTATCTTGACACCTCCCCCCGCCCCCCCCCTTAAAAACTGTCAGGAGTTCAGATGTGGGAGAAAAGCATCTGAATCTCTTCCACTTTAAAAACGTTCATCAGCTCTCGACAGCGTATGGTCCGATTCCTTTGGCTCTTTCAAGGCTTGAAACAGCAACTTTGTCCAGGGTTTCAGCATGGTGCCTTCATCTTGCTGCTGGTTATCCTAAAGATTCCTGCAGCTTCTGCTGAGGCTGTGAGGTTGGGGTGGTCCTGAGAATACCTACCACTGAGATATACTTGTGGAAAAAGCTGCTTAGTGCAATCTTACACTTCTAGAAAGGCACCTGTTGTCCCTGACTTCAAGTTGTGGGCTATCCTTCTTCTATATGGTGGAGAGATTAGAAATGGGGTGTGGTGTTTTGTTTTGGGTTTTTGGGGTTTTTTTTTTTGCCTTGTAACATTTATGTCTATCAAAAGCCCCCAAACACCCTTTATGCTCAACTAGCCATTTCGGTTTTAAAGTTAACTTAAAAATCTGATACATTATGCAGAGACTTTAAAATTTAAGTACAGGTGGTATCTCCAGCGTAAGTACCATTTTGTGCTACTTACCTCGTTGTACAATTAAGAGAAGAATCTTGGAGTTTGGAATACACTGAATTGTTGCAAATAATGTTAACTCTTCCTTCTGGACGCATCTTGCCAATTTAATAGGGAAAGATTTTACAAAAATGCTTACCAAAACTACCTGTTCTATGCCAGCTGTTAGATGATCCTCCCTAGTATGAAGGAAGGTACCTGGCATTACTCGATGTAATGTGGTACCGTGCGGGGGTGCTTTGTTGTTGTTTTATCCCGGAACAAATACTTCAATCCTCATTCAAAATGACAGTTTGGCTTCTGTAATTGTAGGGAGTGTTTTGTTTTGGGTGACTTTTGATGTGGGTTTTTGGTCACAGTGCCAGGGGAAAGTTCTAGATATACTGAAGTGAATGCAAGATTGTCATTAGCACGGGAGCTTGGTATTCACTGCTGGACTGAGCGTGTGCTATTGCTATAGCTCAGTTCTGAGATGTATCAGCAAGACTAGTGCCTGCCTTAATTCTTCTTGTCTTAATTCTGACATGTGAAGGGAGGGATGTGAAAGACCTTTTCTGATTTTAGTCAGATTGATATGGTGGCCACTAGGTCACTCCTAAGCCTTACCCAAGTCCCAGTGACTTGTTTCTGCCTTGGAACTGTTATCTCAACTTACTGCATGGCATGCTGGTGCGTCTGGATTGGGAAATAGTTTGTTTAAACAAACCTGGGTTTAATAAGGTATGTTTGTATACCTTGCAATGAAACAATTGTGTTGGTGTAAAAGAGGGTATGGCACAGAGGTGGGTCATGGCTAGAGAAGAAGAGAGAAGTTAATGGAACTACTCTCTTTGCCCTATATATAGAATTATACCGCACCAAAGTGCATATGACACAACAGTGTTGGAGCCTGGCTTTATCTTGCCGAGGGTCCTCCAGTGGGTGATGGTAAGACATGAAAGCAATCATGTCCTCATCGCATGGAAACCTGGCCAGCTTAGAACCCATGCAGTGAGCAGCTGTTTTACAGAAAGACAGGGAGCCTTGCTACTACTGGGTAGGATATGCCACTGTGGAACAACGTATGTAGGGTTTTCTGCCTTTTGATGCTGAAAGCGTTATGACCTTGTCCTAATAATCCTGCCACGCTGGGCATGTGAGCTCCTTGACACATTCTGTTTTTCAGCATTAGTTTTACTACTGCTGTATCTTCTGTCTCTGGTTATCAGCTGTCAAAACTGTCCAATCCTTGGCCTCTTGTTAATCATGCTTAATTCTGAAGCCCTCAAACTGATGGGTCTCAGTTTGTCATGCTAACAAATGTGTGTATTACCTCTGTAATTTATTCAATGCCTGGTCCCAGGGAGGAAACCAGAGCCTTCGCTGCCCTCTAGGAATACAGCAATGGATAGGGAAACAGGCTGCTTTTTAGCCAGGAAATGTGCAATATTGTCCTGGGTTACTCAGGTGACCTAATCAGTTACGTTCATTGGAAAGCATAATCAGTCTACATAGTAATCTGGTTTAGATTCTCTTCCGTTGTGGGACTTTACAATTTAATTTCCTTTATTCTTTTTAAACTAAAAGGAAAATTTGCAAAGAAATGGTGCCAATACAGTTAGTTTTTACTAACTGTAATCTAGCTAGCTTTTACTGTCATGAAAAGAGAAAGCTAGTCTTTTCTGTTCAAGCTATTGCTTGCTTTGTGTAAATGTTAAGTAGGATCCTAGGGTCTATTTCTCCAAACTGTCTTTGAAAAATTTGCTTAACCCCAATCGGGTTTTTTTGTTCTCTGTATTTAATAATTGAAACACTTTTGACTCCTCAGTTTACTTTCTTGTAGAGTACTTGGATCCTTGGCTGGAGAATGCTTTTGTAGTGGAAAGCATTAGCTAAGAGAGCTTTGATTATTTGGCTTGAATACTTTTCTGATCTATAGAGGACTTCCTATCTACACGCTGCTAAAATGCACTCTAACACATGTTCAATTATAATTCTCTTAGCTAACAAATACTTTGGAGCAATGGGGGGAAATCAGTATTTCTTTATAAAGAGCCATCTTTTTTTGTTTTTCCTTTTCTTTTTACACTTAGATGATGGAACACCTGGATTACACAGGAAATGAAGAAAGCACAGCATCAGCCAGTGAACAGCCTGGAGGACAATAACATGTAGGATCCTGATTGAAAATAGTATTCAAATTTTCTACAAATGAATTACAGTAAATTTGGTGAAGTTTTACAATAGAGTATTTCCTACTCTGTGTAAAAGGGGTTTTTACTCCCACACTTATATTTTTATGGAAAATATTGTTAATAACATAGAAGTAATCAAAATAGACTTGCATTTTTACATCCAAACCATAGCTAGTAAAACCGTGCCTTATTTTGATTTAAATAAAAGGATATTTTCTATGCAATTTTCCAAATGTGTTTCTATACAGTATATTTTTATAAAAGTTTCTTGCCCATATCAGTTTGATGCATGAAATGTTTTCTTAATTTTGATTAAGAAACTTATTAAACTAGTCAAGTTTCACAAAAAAAAAAGGTACAGTACCCTTCATAGGATTCCTTTCCAGATTTTGAATGCAAAGATTGGTAGTAATGTAACTATAGCAACTAAAGAATGAAACTATAGTTCCATTACTGCAAGTAATTGAATAAACAGTGTATGTTAGGCTATGTACATTGTAAGCCGTAAAATAGGTAACAGGGCAAATTTAGCTTGGGGTTGTGAGCTTCCCCCCCCCGCCCCGTACTGTCACTGGCTTATGCCTTAACTGTGAAAATTGTTCAGCTTTGGTGCAAGTCTTTCGGATTATATACATCACCAACCATTAAAAAAAAAAAAAAATAAAAGAGGGGGAGGCACTTACACAGTGGTCCTGGGAACTTAGGTGCAGCTCCTGGAATAGTTGACAAACAAGATGGTGCGAAAGGCAAGAGGGTTTTTTTGCTCAAGAAGTGCTTTTTGGGGGGGAGGAAGTGTTAACTCTGGCCTGGTTCTTCTACCCATTGAGACTAGGTCTGTATTTGCAGTCTTCATTTGGCTGTGGATCAGTTCAAAGGGATGGGGGAAGACAGGACAGATTTTTTTTTTTTAGCTTTTGGGTCTACACCATACTTTTTTTTTTTTTAAACTATTTTTGACAATTCTTTGCAATTGATAGACAAAACAACAGGTTTGAATAGCGCTAGTCATGCCTGTGTTAGTTAAGGCCAATGCATGTGTTTAACTTGTTTAATCTTAATTTGTTTTAGCTTTTAAAGACTTGGAAAAGGAGAAATAGATTAAATCATTAGTTTGCATTTAGAAGAGTTTGAGTTCGTTTGACTCTTTTCTTTTTTCAGGAAACTGCAAATTGAGGGGGATTAGGCATAGAAAATTTGTATGGCTGTAATGCTAACACTTTACACCAAAGAAAATTGGAGAAGGCAACAAACAGAAAACCACTGAGTTCACTTAGTGCTAATGTCAGGTATTCGTTAAAACATTTTTCCTATTCTTTAAATGAATGTCATTCCTATAGTCAGTACAAGTTCAAAAACCCTGGAGAAAACAACTGAATAAGCACATGCTGGGCAATGGCAATGCAGGCTTTCCTGCAGTGCCTCACGTAAGTGCCTCGGTGTTGGTCTGAAGGTCACCTCTAGACATTTATAGTTAGTTTGGGGCATGTTGGCTCAGGAGGACTTACCCAGATTAAATCTAGTTTAGCTAGATTTACTTTGGAAGTATGCTAATTAAGACAACTGTAAATCTATATTGGCAATTAACAAAGGCTTACTGCAAATTCACAGCTTTATGTAATTTATATCACGTTTAAACTTTGGTCGCAAGAGTCAGGAGCAGACAAACTTACAGCCTGAGTACCAGTTGTTGCTGCTCACACAGATTGACTGTAGTGCCAGTTGATACGGGTAAGATAACCACCTTGTTTGCAACTTCCCTAAGAAAACAGAAATTACAAACAGTTTTCGTATGTTAGTAGTTGCCCCTCTTGACTTTCTTGACCTAAGCTTGAACTGACAGCCTCAGAATACAATGATCTTGCGCACCATCTTCAATTTTTATTTGACTGGCACTTAATAATAAATTACAGCATACCTCAGCGTTCCAATAGCAGACTGAAAACTTGTCTTCTGATATGGTTATGAAGAAGTTTCTGAAATTCCTGAAAGAGATAAAGAAGTCATAACTCTTTCAAAGTCATGCACTACTCGGAGCCCTCAGAAGCTTCACAAATCCATGTAATGTGACTCCTTTTTCTCTTTGAAGTGTTCTGCGTGGAGGATTTATTAAATTTTCGCCTATAAATGATAATGGAATTAGTATAAATAAAGACGACCTCTGGCAACACAAGTGTATTCAGCAGCTGGCTGTGGAAACTCTGTCTTGTTTTGTGCCTAATTAGGCTCCATGCCTGATCATGCCTGAGGTTTCACACACATGTGCTGCAGTTTAATGGGACGTAAACTAACTTTTTTCTTTCAAATGCTTAGGTGCTTTGTTTACAAAAATTAAGAATGGAGTTTAAGATTTTATATAAATAATAGGTTAGTATTGACTACTGAAATGAGGTTTTTATAAGTTGAATAGAACTGATTGCAACATTTTTAGCAATTTTGAATGTTTTTAATATTAAATTGGGTTGGGCTAAACACTATGTTAAAAGCCTTTTTAGTCATACTTTAATATAAAAATCTTACTACCTTTTCATTGTATGTTTACTGACAATAGCCCCTTTCCTTATGACTCTTAAGTTATCACCTGAAGAATGTTATTAATAAATGGTACTTGGAAAAAAAAAATAGCTGAGTAATTGCTTTGTTCTGACTCGTCTTTTTCTTACTGTGAACGTTCATGGCAAAACAGTTAACACTTCATAATACCAAGTAAATTAAAAATTCATTATACACCCCCATAAATATGGAGTTGCAGTTTTTATCCATCCTGCCTGATGTATCAGAGTTATGATTCTGTTTGTAAATACCTATGTGGTGGTTTTGGTGGATCGCGCTTTTTTGCCATTTTTTTTCTTTTTTCCAGGGGCAGGGGGGACAACTGAAGTCTGTGAATTGAGCTACATCAATTTTACTGGTCTAACTCGGCAAATGCGTATTGCACAACTGTTAATCATGGGGCTCTGTGAAAGTGTACCTGACAAACAGTGAGTCAGAGAGTTAACACGTGCAAACTTCTTGATGGTAACAAGCTTACTTGCATTCAGCCTGGGAAATAGTGCTGTAGAAGCCTTAGACATGAAGGGCAAGAAAAAGCCAAGCTTCAGTCTTGAAATCTAGGCTGGGTTGGAAGTGGTGGTGGGGAATCACTGAACCCAAATACACTTGATATGTGATCCTGGAGACATCCCTAGAACCCTGCGATAGTGTGTTTGTATTTACCATGTTTTCACATATTTTAAGCCTCTTCTGCTCATACACTGGAGGTTCCAGTAGCATTGAGTAACAGTAACTGAGTATGTAACTGGGAGAAAACTCTCCAAAACGCTCTTTGAATTGACTTAACTTCAAAAGGTAGAGAACTTGGGAAGAACAGACACAGCTGCAATTGGCAAACTTGTTTTTCACTGTCTGTTCCCCATATGCATTCCACTGTTAAGGCTGGTACATTTGACACTTTATCAAAACTGCGAATCTCAGAGGCTTCAAAATTACAAGCAGGAGAGGCATTTTCTTCTAAGGAAGAGGGTCATTATTAGTTAACAAGTGCTTGCCTGTTTAGATCGGTCCAGTCTTTACAATAAAATTCCATTTAGACGTAAGGAAAAGCTTTTCACTGTGAGTGTGGTCAAACACTGGAGCAGGTTGTCCAGAGAGGTTGTGGAGTCTCCGTCCTTGAAGACACTCAAAATACAAGTGGACACAAGCCTAGCAGCCTTCTCTGAGCAGGAGGGCTGGACTAGGCAATCTATAGAGGAGCCTTCCAACTCTACTGCTCTTGATTATTAAGGCATTTTTCTGCTTGTTTCCCAGCTTGAATAGTCTGAAAATTTATTTTTTTCTTCATAGAAAAACTCAAATTTTATCACCACAACATGGGTTTGATTTTTCACTTGGAATAATTTACTTCTACTAAACTGTTAGATTTAAGCATATTTAAAAGTTGTCTTTGGATTTGTAATGCTTTCAGAAGCTAAAGCACTGTTTTATTTTTAAGTAGCCTATATAGCACATTTTACTGTGAATGATTTCTTTTTCTAATTTTTGAGGAAAGGAAGAGGAGAGCAACTCATACTGTTATCCCTTTTGTCAGGAGTGAGTGATCAAAGTTGAAGGTTTTGTGTTCTTGAGAGAGGCTGATGATGAGGCTCAGGTATCTCTGGAATCCCTCTTATTTATAAAGAATGTGCAAAATCCTGTTTCCCTGAACACAGAGGACATCAAATAGCTGAGAATAGGGGTTTTTTGCTTGCAGCTCAAAGACCTTTTAACCAATAAAGTGTTTAGATCAAAGAGCTCCCTTTCAGCTCTTTCTTAAGAGTGTGCTCACAGGTACTCTGCTGTCTGGTTTTCTGTTGCCTCCCCTTGCTCCTGCACATACTCACCTCCTTTCCTTCCTCCTCTTTTCTATTTGGGGCAATACCAACACGTTTTGAAGTGTGTTTGCACATTACTTTGTCTTGGACAATTAATATGTGCCTCTGTTCCAGTATGGAGATGAGCGTTTATGAGGAGGTTTAGTCTTTTGGACTCTCTTAAAACAAATGCAGCAGTCATACCTACACCAGCTCAATCCACCAGTAACAGTAATTTAAAACAATAGCTTATCTTCTGCACATCCTTATCTGTGTCACCGTCCCACTGACTTTCTAGGGTTGCATTAATGTTGGTGTAACAGCCTGGCTTAGATTTGAAAAACCAAAGAAGTAAAGGAAGTTTTTTACAGTTTTATTAGAAGCTGAAAAGCACTTGCGCTGGCTCTCCCCGTGTTTTGCAGAAAGGCTACCAGAATATATCAACTTCTGTATTGTACATGCTTGGGAATACAAGGAAATACAACAGGTATTGGTATGTTTAAAAGTTCAACAATAACTCGGTTACTTTAATTTCAAGCTTTGTTGTGATGTGTCCCTATCAAAGCTACAAGAGCGGGGTCCTTTTAATTCATGTTTCTTTCCAAAGGTAACGGAGACTATGCCAGTAAATTGATCCATCCTCATGGATTTAAGGCAACTACCTGCAGAAAATTAGCAAAAAGGTATTTCTCTGGTAGGTGAGTATTTCTCTGGTAGGTGAGTATTTCTCTGGTAGCTGATTTAAAAAATAATTTTTAAAAGTAAATTTACATTATAGTAACAATGGAAAAAAGAGCAAATGCATGCCCATTGGTACCTTTTTTTCTCTAGGAAATGGAACAGCAAGCCTCTGCAGGACAAAGTGACACTTTTGTCAG